ATTATCAACCTGGACTGGAAAACTGGCGCCATGTGTACACTACTTCGATAACATTTTAGTGGTCCTATCAGCCGCATCTGCCTTCTATTTTTATTTCTCAATAGCATGGCTATATTGTTTCGTATTTTCTCTAAACAACGCTCATCCTTTTGTTTCTTGGCGACCGTGCTGCAGGCTAGGCTAACAATTCTGCATTTCCATAGGAGGCTCTCACGGCCTCCTCGGAAATAAATATATATTTTAAGAACAACTCTTCTAATGTTAAGCTGGAAATTTCTTGTTCCGGCCACGACAGCTGTCCTAGGAGTTTTCTATTTTTCTTCTTTTTCGACGATGTATTCTCACCTAATGAAGAGATCTGGAGAATTCGAAAACTTGCGCACTTACAATGGCGTTTTGACTTTCCAACTTTGGGGCCAATTGTAAAAGGCTAGCGAGTCTCCCTCACTCGTTGCTGAGGTTACTGACGCTCCTTCGTGCCACCTGGTGTTGAAACGGATGTGTAAGCCATGAGTAAGAAGTCTATGCTGAAACCAGCTGCGTTTGATCTCTCCTCAGGGCCAGGTGAAAACTGCGAATCCTTCCTTGGAGGGGATGCGAGTTAATCCTCTCCCCTCCACCCCCCAAGTAATTTCCAAGGAGGTAGCCGTGCTAATCTATTTTAGCAAAAACAACAAAGAATCTTTGAAGTTAACAACTTTTATTTGGCACACTCTTATTGGGCATTTGTTTCCTTGTTTATTTGGCTCATGAGCTAAATAAGCAAATGCTTATTATTTGGCATGAGCTTTGGTGGGCAATGGCCACGAAAGCTCATGCCAAATAAAACTGGTTAGCTTTAAAGGTGCTGCAAGACTCTTTGTTGTCTTTCCTGTTTTCAGCTCTGGCTTAACTTTGCTCCCTGGGATGAGGCCAGAGAGGCCTCTCATTCTAGGAACAGGATGTACTGACTAATTGAATCATCTCACCTGATTCACCTACACTGCAGCCAGGCCCAAGGTGTGATACATTCAAGACCAATTCACAGGATCAGAAACCTCTGGCCCACTAAAGGTTTTGAACTACAACCTCTGCTATTAGGCATTCTCATGGTCTAAAGGTCAACACATCCAGAGGGTATGTATTATTGTTGCGATTGTCCCCATACTGAAAGGGTGTGAGGTTCCGATTACATTATTTAAGACATCTTTTTGCCTCTTTATAGTAGAGTCAGAACTAAAAGTAGGTAGGGGTAACCCTTCTCTTTCTTTCAACATGTCTCATTCTGTTTCTATTGGCTTTTTGGGCTGCTAGAAGAATCACTGTTTTTGCCCCAAGGCTACTACTGAGATGTTGGTAGTGACTCACTTCACTTAGCAAGAATAGGAGTGGTGTCTCTGAAGAAAATGTTTGAGTGGATTTGTATATATGTGTGTGTCTGTGAAGGTGATCCTTCAGGTAAGTTGACTCTCAAAACTGTTTTAAGGCTTTAAAGAACAAGGACAGAATCTTATTGCAGCTCTCAACTACAGAACAGACTGGTTGAATCCGATGCTGAATGGTAAGTGACTGTGTAAATTCCTTTGAAAATGTGAGTCTACTCTAGTTGAGTAGGCCCATTAGCCCATTAGCAGTAATTATAGTCTACTCTAGTTGAGTAGGCCCATTAGCAGTAATTACTGGCCTAAAACTTAGACATTTCATTTGTAGTATCTTTTGTTTGACATAAAATATTAGGTGACAGTGGTAAGAGAGACACCCATCTCTTGTCTGAGACCCTGAAAGAACTACTGGCAAGCAGAGCAAATAGCACTGGACTAACAATTACTTACAATAAGGCAGCTGTTTATACTTTTATGATGAAAAAAAATCTCTTTTTGTAGCAAAGGAGTTGTTTTTGTGTTTTAGCCTTCTTTAAAAAAAAAGTCCTACACCCTTCAGTAGAGCTCTCAGATAATCTCTGAACATAGCCTCTCCCGTTCTATTCCTTATAAAGTTTTAATTGCCCAGATGGACTGGGTTCATTCAAAGCTACAGATGTAAGCATCCTTCAGTCTGGAGAGACTATGGTAACATGCTCTGTATGGAGAACTTGGAACAGCATCTAGTATGGCTGAGAAGGCCAATTCGAGAGTGACAATCCCTTCCACAATGAAGACAAATTAAAGAACTTCTTAATGAGGGTGAAAGAGGAGAGTGCAAAAAATGGTCTGAAGCTCAGCCTCAAAAAAACTAAGATCATGGCCACTGGTCCCATCACCTCCTGGCAAATAGAAGGGGAAGATATGGAGGCATTGACAGATTTTACTTTCTTGGGCGCCATGATCACTGCAGATGGAGACAGCAGCCATGAAATTAAAAGACGCATGCTTCTTGGGAGGAAAGCGACGACAAACCTTGACAGCATCTTAAAAAGCAGAGACATCACCTTGCTGACAAAGATTGTCAAAGCTATGATTTTTCCAGTACTGATGTATGGAAGCAGGAGCTGGACCATAAAGAACGCTGATCGCTGAAGAATTAATGCTTTTGAATTGTGGTACTGGAGGAGACTCTTGAGAGTTCCCTGGATTGCAAAGAGAACAAACCTATCCATTTTGAAGGAAATCAACCCTGAGTGGTCACTGGAAGGACAGATCCTGAAACTAAGGCTCTAATACTTTGGCCATCTCATGAGAAGACTCCCTGGAAAAGGCCCTCATGTTGGCCAAGTGTGAAAGCAAGAGGAGAAGGGGACAACAGAGGACAAAATGGTTGGCACCGAAGCTACCAACATGAACTTGACCCAACTCTGGGAGGCAGTGGAAGACAGGAGGGCCTGGTGTGCTCTGATCCATAGGGTCACGAAGAGTCAGACATGACTTAATGACTAACAGCAACAGCAAAGGTGAAACTCTCCAGACTCTGTTCATATGCATATAATAACACCCACACACTGCAGTGTAGTTCTCAAAAGGCCTCCATTGGCACTAGTGGAAGCTTTCCTTATTGTGGTGCAAAGGGTTTTACAACATTGAGAAGGGCAGAATTAGCACTTTCCTCCCCAGAAGCAATTTTGAATAGTATGCCACACACTATAATTAGGCCTCTACAAAAAGTCTTCACTGGCACCACAGTGTCCTTCTAAAAATGCCATGTGTACAGGTGGAGACGAAGAAAAGGAGGACCTCTTATTCCCTGCCTCCAGAAAGGGGAATAAATCAGTGAGTTCAGTTGGGAATGCCACTGTTTATGTCAGGCTCACAGGATGAATGTCCTCATTATTGCCCTAAGGGCTTCAGGCAGGATAACAGCTTTCAATATGGCAAACACCAGGTGTTCTAATCTTCACATCTCGTCAGTCTAGCAAATGAAATGGTAATATATGGAGTGAGTTGCAGGGCCAGATTATCTGTTGTAGATATCCTATCATCAGAACCAAAGTTGTGTTAGTGTTTGAGACAAATGATTTGAGAAGACTTTCCTGTCTGAGAGTGCATTTTGCAGATCAAGTCCCCTCTCAAAGACCAATCACAAAACAACTAATTTACAAACTACATGAGGTGAGAAAATCCTCTACTGTGCAAATCAAATGTTTTCAGCAGCTAACTAAAAATCCCATTTTTAGTATAACTTATCTGTAACATACAATTTGGACACTAATCCAAAACTATATCGGAGAAGATTGTACCACAGTCACCCAACTCCATGACTAACAACGGTAGTAGTTTCACATGTACATGAGAGGTCATATTGTTGCCAATGGGTGCAGCCCAACTGCTTTTCAAAATATATTAATATGTTGAGAGGAAAATCGACTGTGCCTCACCATGGTCTTTGTAGTTTCTGCTGGAGGCTTGTGGGTGCTGGTGAAGTATATTTACACTATACCTGTTTGATAGTATACACTAGCTGTCCTATTTTTGCTGTGTTGTGTATACTTTCCCCTGGTCCTCTCGGACCAGATAGGTGGGGTATAAATAAAATAAATAAAATAATAATAATAAATATACTTAAACAATCAGGAAAATTCCAGACTGGCACGTGGGGTATAAATAATGCCTAAGTCCTTTCTATGCCTAAGTCCTTTGCATATAGCTACCACAAGCATACTCGCTCGAACAGGCTGATGAGCACTCTGTGAGTAAGACGGCACCATGCCTGAAGCACTGTCCATAGCAATAACCAGTCATTGACAATAGACACTAAGTATAGGGACCTCCACCCATAAAGATTGCGCATGAAACTCAGCGTGTAAAGGAAAAAATTAGGTCAGCCTAGATTGCGCCAGATACTCATTATATAGTAATTAAATTTCTTAGGGGAATTGGATTCTTCTTCTTGGACTGCAAAATACAAACTGTGCTTACTAGAGGATTCTGGGAGATAAAATCCAAAAAGTATATTTTTCCAGATTTTAAAAGAGCTCTGTTTTGCACCAGGAGTTCCAGCCATTGTTGACTGTTTCTGTAGCTAGCAATTCTTTCTTCTCCCAGCCCTCTTTCCCCAGCCTTTCTTTCCTATGGTTTCTTATTTTGCTTTTAAGTCCAACTGGCCACACTTCTACAAGAGCACTTTGTAGAACAGAAGACTGCAGGAACCTGCAGGGCTTTGTATTCCCCCAACTCCCCTTTGCAAATTCTACCAAGTTATATCTGTGAAGATTCTCAGTCATCCAGGTGAGGTTATCTGGGAGCTGAGTCATGGCAACTGGGCTTTTTTCTTGTTAAGCTGAAATGTTTCACTACTCATCCAAGTAGCTTCTTCAGTCTAAGGACAGTTGTTAAGAGACCCCTGAAGTATCCTCCACATTAGTTTCACTTTCCCCTGGTCCGAATAGGCTCCTTAGACAATGGACAAAGGACGGGGGGTGAGTGAAAATCCCACTCCTGCAGTCCTCCTCCACCCATTGTACCAAGCTGTTTCCTCATTGAAGAGCCTTCCCTGAAGGAGGACTCCTGCCGGGAGACGGTGTCCACCGTTTGGGGGTTTAGTGTCATCAATGTGCAGATGACATCCAACTCTACTCCTTTCAATCTTCCAAATATATTGTCTTGACTGATATATATAGAATGAATTCGATGAGGGGAAGCAAATTGGAACTTAATCCTGACAAGATTGAGGTGCTCCCGGTCAATTGTAAGGGAGATTTGAGATTAAGAATGTATTATCCTGTTTCCCCGAAAATAAAAACTAACCTGAAAATTTTTTCACAATGATTGTAATATAAGCCCTACCCCCAAAAATAAGCCCAGCGAAGTGAAACCCCACCATCCATCATTGTGCAGCAACCAGAAGAAGAGGACATGACTGTATTTGAATAAATATAGATTGTTATCCATGAAAAAATAAGCTGTAATGTGTTTTTTTGGAGGAAAAATTAATATAAGACCCTGTCTTATTTTTGGGGAAACATGGTAGTTGGGGTTATTCTCTCCTTGGAACTTGGATGTACTCCTGGATTCATCCCTGAGTCTGGATGCCCCGGTTTTGGTAGTAGCCAGGAGTGGTTTTGCACAGCTGCACCCATTTCTTGAAATGTCTGACTTGGCTACAATGACTTGTGCCTTAGTCACATCCCAATGGGATTACTGTAACACGCTCTGTGTGGGGCTGCCTTTGAAGATAGTTCTGAAATGTCAGCTGGCTCAAAATACTGCAGCCAGAATGCTGACTGGAGTCAGTCACATGGACTGTATAATTCCCTTGCTACAACAATGTCATTGGCTGCCAGTCCATCTCTAGGCCTAATTTAAAGTGCTGTTATGACCAATGGCTTGGGTCCAGCTTATTTGAAGGGCCATATTGCCCATATAATCTCCCCAGTCTCTTGAGATCTTTGCTGGAAGACCTTCTCTCAGTCTCACTGCCATCACAGTCACATTTGGTGGGAATCTGAAAGTGGGGTGTCTAGTGGCTGCTCCCAGTCTATGGAATTCCCTGCCTCACAAGCCTGGGTTGCTTCCCTTGTTACAGTACTTCCTCTGGCAGCTGAAAACTCTCCCTTTTCAGCTGGCTTTTAACCTCGAAACTTTTCAGGATTGCATTTTTTAGAAGGGGATGCAACATATTTTTATTAGTATTTTTTATCATGGATTTAAAATTGGGTTTAACTTTTTAAATTAATATTCTTTTGGTTTAATCCTGCTTTAATGTTAATGTCCTAATTTATTGTGTTTTTAAATACATGTATCTTTTAGTTGTTTTAGGTGTGTTCTATTAGAAGAAAGGCAATATACAAAGGAAAATAAAATAATTAAATAAATTAATCTACCCTCTCTAAGCAGGGGTTTTCAAGAAACTGCTAGCTATAGGACACCTTTCTCCATCCAGGTACCTTCGGGTCACATTCAACTGCAACTCCAATACTTTAAATAATATGGCCAATTTCCAGCCAGTATGTGATGAGAAACTATGTAGCTTCAGGGATGGGTGGTAGAGGGAAATGCACATGAGTTATTTCTTTATCTGCATAATTTTTCCATTTGCTATCATTTTGAATACTATCCTAAAAATGCTGCCTGAAAGGGTTGCTTGTCTTTCAGGTTAAAAATAACATTCTGAAATATGTGGATCACCTTGATTGTTCTGACTTAAAGTAGGCCAACACCAACACCCCTCCAGGTTCTTCCATCAAGTCCAGAAAATCTTGACTGCTATTTCAAGAAACATACTGAATTTTGATTGACAAACAAAAGCATCAGTAGTGCCAATCTGCTCCCCCCCTATTGAGGGCATAAGCTAGTCAGAGCTAACCATGTTTTAAGTCTTGCTATTTAAAGATATTTAAATACACAAGTAACCCTCCCATGGAATTAACATATACTTCAAAGTGCATAACTCAAGCTCAGTTGTGGTGCAGTTCTTTCTCCATTTGACTGAAGAAGGTACTCTGCTAATAACTACAATATACTGTATTCTTGTAATTTAGAAAATGCATTTCACAGTCTGTATAGAATCAATATTTATGATTATTCCAGTAATCTATATCCACCCTTTGGAACAGTTCTTACATTCTTGACATCAGTGTTCAGTACCCAGAGATCTAAATTACATCCATACTGCGTAAGTAAGGTACAGTATGTATTAAACGTGGAAACAAACACTAATAATTGGAATTACACACAGTATGTTATTATCATGCTATTCTCTATTATAGAGCTACATACCATTTCAAGAGATGTCATTGCTAGCCAATGTATTTTTACATCCCTTCCTGCCAATCTCCAAAGCAAAGACTTTATGCAGGAACAAGGATCACTACCGACAAGGCACATGGGTTATAAGAATATCTTCAGTTAGTTTCATATGAATTACAGTGGTGCCTCGCTTAGCGATGTTAATCGGTGCAGCAAAAATCGCCGCTCACCGAAAACATCGCTAAGTGATTTTTAAAAGCCCATAGGAATGCATTGAAACCCCTTCAATGCGTTCCTATGGGCAAAAAACTCACCTTTAAGCAAAAATCCTCCATACGGTGGCCATTTTCGCTGCCTGGTATGCGAGGAATCAGTCCCAAAACTCAGGGGGCGGCCATGTTTTTTTTCTGGTGGCCATTTTGGAACCGCCAATCAGCTGTAGGAAAAAGATCGCTATGCGATAATTGGTAAGCGAAACAGCTTACCGATCATCGCAAAGCGATTTTTTCCTATTTAAAACATTGCAATGCGATCGCTTTTTCGATCGCAAATTCTTCGTCGCTAAGCGGTTTCGACGTTAAACGGGGCGCTTGTTAAGCAAGGCACCACTGGTATTTCCCTTCTCTTAAAAAAGGATAATTAGTACATCAATTGCTACTCATGTATACATCTTAATATTTAGATATGCCATGTCTTGAAGAAAAATATAGAAAAATCATATAATTGTGGGAAAACTAAGGCACAGCATTTAAACTGTTGTTTCTGTAGATGTTTTTTGCCATCTCTGTAAACATGGATTTCTTGCAGCTCTTATTAGAGAGCAGTGGGGAGTAGTACATGCCAGGCACAGTAAAATGTCTCGTTCAAAGAAGGATCAGTACTGATCTGAAACCTCTGTGCCAGTCTAGGGAGTGGTTTGTATTCCTTGTCTTATTTACTGACTGATGACATTTTTATCCTGTCGTTTCTCCAGGTTTATCAGGATGATGTAGCCGTCCTTCTTTTCAGCTTACCTTCATAACTATCATTGAAATAGGCTGACCTAAGTGCTAACAACTAATGCAAAGTCACCCAATGATCCTCATGACCAAAGGGGTATCCTCCATCACAATCCCACACTCAAACCACGAAATATCTTGTTGTCGAATCAACTTGCCAAATAGTTTGGTAGACATGTCCATGAGGCAGAAGGTCTCAGACTGACCATTTATTTCTTCAGGTTTCTGGATATAGTATTTCAGGAATAAACTCTAGAAGCCCGTAGTAGCTGAGCTCAGTTTGCAGATCTCACATAGTTATATTTCTAGACTCCTTCTTAAGCCTCTTCATTATTTTTGAACTGAGTCTGATACTTACACTAAATAAATGAGAGATGTTGGAGTTTCTTTTCTGTATTAATTTTTACAGATTCAGTGCCTGCAACCATCTTCGCCTTTTATGGAGGCAAACAATTTTACTAAACTTAAAATATAAATTACAACTCAAATCGACTATGAATTTGCTTTGCTTTTGCTTTGTTGTAGTTGGTAATCATATCCAATTTACTATGACCAAGAGTCATCCTTTTTTCTCCTCTCTGTATATTGCTGTGGTTTTTTGCCTGTGTACTATCAGAGGAACCATAAGAACTAGAAAGAGTGGGACTCATCTCACTGTTTAATGATTTATAAGGCTTGTTGAGTTCTAGTTTACTGTATCCAGAAGTGACTGGCTCTCCATCTTGCTGTATTTTGCTTACATCATTCACTGGTTGAACAGGGTAGAGGCACTGTTTGTTGCCTTTTATTCCCAAGTTCTCAGCCCGAAACTGGAAATCATACCCATTGCTTGTCCTGTCACTTAGTATTGGTGAAGATACTGACAGTAAAGATGCCTTCACTCTTGGTAGATTAGATGCTTCATTGAATGGGTGCTTTAATTTTGCTGAAGTACTGAGGCTAGAGTTTGGCAGATCCCTTGGTTGGTAATTCATATCACTAAGTCCTAGTAAGCATGAAACATTATTTTGTGTTTCATTTGTAGTCTGTTCTTTCTTTTCACAGAGTTTATGGGTAGTTGTCTGCTGGTTTAGATATGGCGATCTCTTTATGCTTCCTATGCTTGAATTGGAGAGGCTACTTGAAGGGCTGGCGGTTTCATGATCTTCTATTTGAACCTCCTTTAGAACAGGCTCGTATTTCTGTAAAATTCTGTGAGAAGAAGGTATGGACCTTTCAGCAGAGGGGGTACTAAGTTCATTCACAGATCTAGATTCTGCGTATATGCATCGGAACTCTCTGTCAAAATCTTGAACAATTTCCCCTTTGAAGTGGATTACTAGGCCAGTGTGGATTTGGCTGCATAGCCATGTGAAACTGAAAAGGAAAGGATTTAGAGAGAGGATAAATCGTCAATACATTAAATTACTCTCATGCCACATTTTGATTATCTTTAGATGATTGTTTTCTTTAGTCTTTTAACATTTAATTTTTCCTTCTTCTTTGTAGCACAGACTGCTGAGAAATGGAGCAGCTGAAGAATCAGTTTCCCAAGTTTATTTCACACACATCAGTGTCATATTCCTCTATGTTGATTGATTGGACCTAGAGATAGGCACGAACTTCGGTTTGGAGGTTCATGACGGTTTGTAGTGCCGCGTGTTCCCTTTCTCCACCTCCCCAGCTGGATTGCCCCAATCACCAGCTGGCGCACACTTTTCTCCTTCTCCTCTTCTTCGGTTGTTCGGCCAGTCTCTGGCAGGTGCATGGACTTGTCTGTCCCGTCTCCTTGTCTGAGCGGGCGATCAGACAAGGAGGCGGGACAGACAAGCCCATGCTCCTGCCAAAGACTGGCTAAACAGCTGAAGAGGAGGAGGAGAGGAACATATACCAGCTGGTGAGGCGGGCATTGGCCAGGGAGGTGGGAAAGGGAATGTGTTACACTTGTGGTGCTGTGCTTACAAACAGGCACCAGCCTCTGAACCAAGGTTTGTGCCCATCTCTAATTGGGAATGTGTTACACTTGTGGTGCTGTGCTTATGAACAAGCACCAGCCTCTGAACCAAGGTTTGTGCACATCTTTAATTGAATCCATATTTAATGCAGCTGGGTTACTGGGAACAGAACCCCTTCTCCCAACAGTTTCCCACCCAGCACTCTCGTTATGCTACACCTGGATGGGATGAGCTGTGTCAGAGGGAAGAAGGTGGGATCTTGGAAAAGACATCTTCAATAAGTGGTGCTGTCTCAGAAGGCTAACTAAAGGCACAAGAGACTTGCTTGTTTTTACCATTCTAGGGTGGAGGATGGAGAAAAGGTGAATGAAATCTAGATGAAGTAAGTGAAGTGTTACTTTTAATTTTCAGGAACTCTAGGATCTGGGTGTATGGGGCAGCTTGTAATATTCCATCATCTGCATCTAGAGCCCTCTACCTTGAGAATAAAGCAGGATAATAACAAATAGGTAATGCTGGCTTATGAGATGAGCTGTTCTGCTCCCAAAAACAAGTAACAATGATAGGTCTGATTGGGGAGTTATACATCAACATCCAAGGTAAATATATTAAAATGGCTGCAAAGAAAGAAATGCTAATTTGGATTAGAACTGTGCATGCACTGTGCTGAAATGTTTGCTTGCATGAATACTTGGCTGAAAGTAAATCCCATTGAATTGTATTGCATCTACTAAAAGACACTCCAACCCACTGAGCTATATTAGAATCCCCTCTAAATGTGTTCTTAGTATATGAAAACATCGTTATCTGCTTTGTTTGTTATTTCTCACCTGTATGTCCCTGCAAGGACTTCTTCACAGTCTATCAACATAAATTTTTCAAGTGCTTGTCCTGTAAGCTTCTTGCCAGTTTTGCTGTAATATGTGTCTCCACTCGCACAGCGTATGCGCATATTCTGAAATATGAAGAAGGCATAATAGAGATTTTAAAGGAGCAGAGACAGATGCCATTTTTTGTCCGTGCTGAGCTTATGAATGAATATGAAGCTTGGCTTTGGCATGATATACGTATATCTAAATCAACATCTAAATTAATTTTAGAGTTTATACAAAATCCACTATCCATGATTCTTTATCATCATCATTAACAGTACAATTCCATGCATATCTACCTTTCACAGCTAGTAAGTGGGTATGGGATTGCAGCCAAAATGAAATATATACGTAGGTTAAATATTGGTAGAATCCTATTGTTCACATAAAGTTTGTGTAACTTGCTGTGCACATCATGGTTGTGCAGTTAAGCACACAACCAAGATGGACCCTGGCATTTCAGCCATTTTTCACAAATAGCTATGGCAATGCGAACCTTATTCAAACACCAGTAGGATTCTGGACAATAACTACTGGAGCTTTTGAAGGGAAGACCAGGAGCTGCTTCATGTGTTCTCTCATAAGTGACCTAAGATTAACATCATGTTCGGATTCGGTAGCTCTGGGTGACATAGATCATTTATTGACAACAGGAAGACCTGTAACATCCTGGAAGTGAAAGCAGTCAGAGGAGATAAGAATCTTGTGCTATAATAGGTTTTTTTAAAAGAGTACAGTATGTAGGATTATCCCCAACGTGCATAGTGTGAGTTAAAGAAGGGAGGCTAACTTAAAAAAAAACTTTAAAAAGTGAAAACATAATATTGGACCAGGTAGATTTGGTCTGAAACATCAAGACAATACTTTCATTGTAAGTGCTCAAGGAAATGCTTGAGGGGGAAAAACACCACACCCGTATTTATAGAAGACAAAATTAACCATGAGAGAGCATGGCCATTATTTTAAACTCAACTCTACCACAAATGTACATAAAGTACTGTGTATGTATAATCAGGTGGGGGGGAGGGGGCAAGGAAGGTGCACAGGTAAGGGAGCTTAATTGGCACTAAGTCTATTCTTTATTTCCCCAGTTTTTTTATTTTAACATAATCTTTTAATCTGAGCTCCAGGACTAGAAGTGGGCTTGGCTGAGAGAAAACAACTAGTGAGGAGAGAGATTCAGTCCCATCCTATGTTGCTTTTGCTCAATAACACAGCAACTCCCACCACTATTTTTGGGCACAGCTGGGTTTATATAAATAATCGTAGCACCATTTTGTCTACTGTGTGGATGAAGGAAAGCCATCAAGAACTTTTCATCTTCTTTTTACTCTATCTTTTTTTCCCTTCCATCAGCAGGCAAAAAGCTTTTTAATCAGGCAGGTGTTTAGCACATTTTTGAAGGTTGGATGTCTTTTATTGTGCAGTTTTAAATTGTTTATTCATGACTTTGTTCTTATGTTATGTTCTAAATGAATACTTTTCTTTTAATCTCTATTTTTAAAGTCTGAAATAGACAGGTAAAATATAGCAATTAAGTCTTTAAAGGGCTACAGCGTTTTTTGTCTTTCTTTCTTTCTTTCTTTCTTTCTTTCTTTCTTTCTTTCTTTCTTTCTTTCTTTCTTTCTTTCTTTCTTTCTTTCTTTCTCTCTCTCTCTCTCTCTCTCTCTCTCTCTTTTGGTTTTGCCTGACATGTTTTTTGAGTTGTTAGCCACTTTGAGGGTCTTTTTCACAGAAAAGCAGGGTATTTTTATTCCACCTTTGTCCCACGAATGGGACATAAGGAGGCTGGCAATTAAATAAAAACATGAAACAATGCAAGTGTGAAAGATGTAAGGCACAGTTTTAAAAGATGTCCATACAGAGAAGAAAACAAAAACCAGTTAAAATTCAATTTTGAACAAGCAAGGTCAGTTGCCAAAGAACTATGTGAATAAAGAGTCATTTGCTGCTGATCGAAGGACATCAAAAAGGAGCCTTTCCTGGTTTCTCTCAACAGGAAGCTTCAAGGCCACCAGAAATGTTCTGTTACAGACCTTGTTAGAAATCTCTAATCTTCTCACAGGACTGCAGGATATACTAGGCAATAGGAGTTAAACCCTTCTGATTATTGGGATAGATGAATGAACAAGTTTTAATCCCTATAATGGTGAGATGTTAAAATGAGGATTGACATAAAAACATTTTTCCATGCACCCCTCATCATCGCATGTTATTTTATTGTTGCCCATAATTTATTCAGAAAATTAGAAACTAGAAAGCTAGAAACATACTGGGAAGTCATCCATTGTGAGATCCATTTTGTGGCACATTTCTGCAAATTCTTTTAGGTTCTTTTCATCAAGGATCAAATATACAGGAACATGTCGTTTGCTTGAAGCCTCCATCAAATCACTGACTATTTCCATATCTGTGAAGAGATCCATCACAATTGCAATCACCTGCACAGATGGGAGAGAAAAGAAGTTAGATGTTTTAGAAAAATCACCAGTGGACCCACATTGTTAAAATACTGTGCATTCCCCCGCTGTATAGCAGTGAGTTCAAGAAACTTGGTTAGTGACTCATGCCACAGTTGTATATACTGGAAGTAAGCCCAACTGGTCACAAGTGAGCATGCTTCTAAGTAAACTTGTATTGGATTACACTCTCAGCTTGCTTAGAGAAAATGGAAGGGCTAGTATATTTAGCAACTAAGTGACAAAGACTGATTTTTATGGCTTGAGGTTGCTTCCAAATAAGCTCTTTTCTTTGAAATCCTCATCCTTTGCTTATTTATCAGAATACAAGCAGTGGTGTGTCATGATAGTTGCCTCCCACAAGTTTCTTTTTTGTCCTCCATGTTTTTTTCAGATGGACTATTGATTTCCCACTATACAAGACTCTGTATGTGTATGTATACATAAAGATGTACTGTACATATACATGTATATACATATATTGAGAAGATGCAGTCAGGTCTCTCCTGTCACACAAGCTTCTATTGTGAAAGTATTCATCACAGGTCTTGACTTACTTTTGAAGCTGCCATAAGAATAATACAGAAAAATGAATTTCATAATTTGTGTTTTCCCATCTCATTAGAATTTTGAGAAACCATACCTGATTATATTTCCCTCTTCCGTGTAATCATTAACGATACGGGAAACTTTTACAAGTTCTGGTCTCTTGCCTAATAAACATTGCTTCCGTGTTCCTCATTCTTTTTTCGTGGTGATTTTATGATAACATTCTAGTAAGCAGCTAAGTTACAGATCTGCAACATGGATGTCAATTACCACTAAGTATAAGTGCAAATTGAGACTGCACCTAATCCCTCCACCCTTCACATGTCCTTCCTGTTTTTTTCCTGAGGCAACATACAGACTAACCTATACCTGCAGGAAAGCAGGGTTTTAGAATTTGATAATAATAGAATTAATGGTCCCACACAAGATTTTACTTGGGAAAATCATATTTCTAAATGCTTCTTCATGTACAAAACTCGCTGCACATAGAAAAACTGAAAATAACTAGTCGAGTTGGATAAACGCATTGGCAAAGCAGCCACCATGTTCTCTAGACTCACAAAGAGAGTATGGCTCAATAAGAAGCTGACGACACGTACGAAGATCCAGGTCTATAGAGCATGTGTCCTAAGCACACTCCTGTACTGCAGTGAGTCCTGGACCCTTTGTGCACGGCAGGAGAGGAAGCTGAACACCTTCCATATGCGTTGCCTCCGACGGATTCTTGGTATCACCTGGCAGGACAAAGTTCCAAACAGTGTAGTCCTAGAACGAGCTGGAATTTTCAGCATGAATACATTACTGAAGCAGCGACGTCTACGTTGGCTGGGGCACGTCGTGAGAATGACTGATGGTCGGATTCCAAAGGATCTCCTGTATGGAGAATTAGTGCAGGGAAAGCGCCCCAGAGGGAGACCACAACTGCGATACAAGGACATCTGCAAGCGAGATCTGAAGGCCTTAGGAATAGACCTCAACAGATGGGAAAACCTGACATCTGAGTGTTCAGCCTGGAGGCAGGCACTGCATCACGGCCTCTCCCAATTCGAAGAGACTCTTGCCCAGCAGGCCGAGGCAAAGAGGAAGTCACAAAAGCAGCAAAAGCAGGGAGCCAGACAGGGGACAGATTGGATTTGTCTTCAGTGTGGAAGGGACTGTCACTCTCGAATTGGCCTTCTCAGCCACACTAGACGCTGTTCCAAATTCTCCATACAGAGCACATTACCATAGTCTCTCGAGACTGAAGGATGCCTATGATGATGATATGAGTGGAGCACATGAGTACCCCTTCTCAGAATTTTCTTACCAGAATTCTCAGAATTCTACCATCTCATTGTGCTGCCTATGAAGAAGAATTTAAGATGTACAGTACATGCTCCTTCTAAAGGAAACTAGACTGAGAGTGTTATTCCTATTATCTGGGCATTTGGTTTCATGCAGTATATCTTGCAGTTTGCCAGCTCAGGCTAATGCAAATGTGAACTCTTTTTTATTCCATAAGTTGAATGATTTCAATATGAGCATCCATCCTGAAAGGCATGAACCCTTAAGTTTTAAAAACTCTCATTAAATAGAACTGATTTACACTGAAAATAGTAGAAGTTATTTTGAAAGAAATGTATGCAGGATTCAGATCTGTTTACAGATCTTTTTACAATTTTTCATCAAATTTCATAAGCTCTTGCACACTTTTTTCATAACATCCCTAAAAACACACACGCTGGAATATTTTGGTCGAATTCCACAAAGAAATGGACATGAAACATTATACACTGGAGTGGAAAGTCTACTTGGATTTTGCAAAAAGTATCTCAGAGCAGAAACCAGCAGGAATCTGGCATCCTATTTGTATCTTTCCTAGAAAAACCAGAGACTAGTCATTATGGTGTCAGATTTTCCAGATATATTTCTTGACTGACTCATCACAAAGTACTCTCTTGTCTTGAGCTTCCGTAGGGCAACAGTTAAAGAATTGCCAACAGGATTTAGGGCAAGATGTGGTCCATGGAGCAATTCTATCTGGCCCCCAAGGGCTATAAAAATTATGGCACAGTTAACATTTTCTTCACAGTTTAATGCACAAGGGTGATTCTTTCTAAAAACTGACGTAGAAAATATAGCTTGTTATATCTCTCTTCAAGGTATAACATCCACACCACACTCAAGTACTATACATCTGCCCTATTATTTTGAAGTCCACAACCCTAGACAGTAATTAGTTTATTAAAAATAATGTAAGTGAGCCTCCGCACTCAGCTTTGAAAAAAATTACTTTTTTGGACTATAAATCCCAGAAATTCCCCAGCTAGTATGACCATGGCTAGGGGATTCTGGGATTTGTTGTCTAAAAAAGAAACTTATCCAGGTTCTGGATTAGCGTGCATCAAGGTATAATTCTTCCCTCAAGACTTCATAACACACCAGAAACAATACAGGTAGTTCATTTCTGCTATAAGCCTTTTATTGCCTTATTTCCCCTACAACACCTCAATATTAAAGCTCAGAATATGCCATGTAATACATTTAATCATTCTGCACTGAGAGCAGTCACCAATGGAAAACTGACTCGAGTATATTCTTAACAATATTTAATATACTACATTAACACTGCATACAGAAAATATAAAAAAAGAAGTCAGGTATATCCAATTAATTCCAGTGCCACTGATCAGACATGTCCTCCTTTTTTAGGTTATAATAAAATGTTATACTTACTGTTTGGGCCTTGCTTATTAGAGACCTAAATACTTCCTTAATATTATTTGTCTTGTCTCTTTGGAAATACAAACTGATTTCTGTCCGGCCAAATATTTTGTGAGCTGGTATCTCTGGCCAACCAAGCTCCAGCTGTGGAGGATCAACATCAGACATGAGTGGAAAGTATGTTCCAGATGTGACTCCAGAAAGGAGAGAAGCTCCATCTGCACTGTCATCCCGTGTGAGCCCTGCCTTCGCTGGAGACTCAGCGATGTTTTGGCTATGTCGGCTCATATAATCCATATCTAACGTAGAAAGAAATGGCAGTTCATTTTCCTGAGTGATAGCTTGTAGATAGCCAGCTTTGCCCCCTTCCAGAAAGGCATCCACAGCCAGTCTGGCGGTTTCACTGTGCTGCAGCATTGAAGGGCTAATTTCCTTCCGCCAAGGTTTCTTCAGATCCTTTAGGCGACTTTTCAGTTGCCCACTTGTCCCCTGAGAGTTCCCATAATTCTTCTGGAGCCAGCCCATTGCCTCAGTTGTTGGGTAGCCAAACATTGTAACATTTAGTGTTCTCCCTCTGGAGCAAAATGTTCACCTTGTGCTGCCTTTCTGTGCTCCAGATTTTTTCCTTTGACTCTTAATGGGGTTCTCCCACAGTTTAGATCTGGCAGATGGAGTTGGTTCCTTTGTTTTCAGCCTTCCTTAAACAGCCATCTCTTCCAAGGAGAAAACAAGCTTCTGAAAAACTTCTCAGTTTAATCTGGTTTGTCTGTTGAAGCAGAAATAATTTACTCGAAACTCTTGTTTTCGGTGCCCAACTGGCAACCGACTTCCTCATCGAAATGTCAAGAAAGGTTTTCCCAATCTTCTTCACAGGAGCAGCCGTCTTCAGACACACTTCGTCAAGCACTGAGGCTTGTTCCCGCCCTAACTAACCCTAAACTAAGTTCTATATTGCAGTTAAAGCCCAGAAACCTGTTCTGCCAGTTCTTGTGCCTAGAGCAGAAATGTGAACGTTGAAACCTGTTCTAAGGTTATTGTAGATTTTTGTGGTAATTATAAATATATATATAGATTATAAAACAATGTCGTAACACTGAGCTGGTCTGGAAAAGGGGGAGGCAATTGCATCCCTTATTATGTATTTTTATCAGTTTTTTTTCTTTTTGGAAAAGTCCTTTTGCTATCGAGCTGGCTGGATAGCTCAGTGGTTTAAGTGTCTGGCTGCAGAGCAAGAGGTTGGGAGTTCAATTCTCCACAGTGCCTCCTGGGAGAAGAGCCACCCTGTGTGGCCTTGGGCAAGCTGCACAGTCTCAGGGTGTCCATGAAAGAAGGGAATGGTAAACCGCTCCTGAGTACTCTCAACCTAGAAAATCTTGAAGAGGGGTTGCCATAAGTCAGAACTGACTTGATGGCACACTGTAATCTTTATTATTTTTTATCAGCCATAGATTTTGCAACTTTCTCTAATTCTGAATAGGGCTGTACAGTACTTAGCTGTCATCTCCAATGCATATGTTTTGTTTAAATAGCAACAGAAATGTGTAGTAAGGTAAACTGTTTTTCATAATACTTAATTAACCATGATCTTTAGGTTTAGGACTGTTGGGGCAACAGCTTTAGGTATAGCAACGATATATTGAAGAGTGGCATCTGATAATGAAGCCATATTTGCCCATCCTCATTATATGTTATATTCATGGGTTAACAATATTCATGAGAAGCAGTGTATAGATTTTGTAAAAAAACAGGCCGGTGACTCCAGGTGGTCTGAGTAATATTCTGCACTTCTTGTGTCATCACTCAAAACCTTTAAGGGACTCCCACTAAGGACTCACATTAGCTGACAAGGTGAAGAACTCTATTAACTGATTGTAAAGTATTGGCTCTTCCTTTCTCATGTTTTTAGCTTTACCCCAACTCAGAAACTTTTCTCACGTCTCCCCAAGGGCACCCACAGAAAAATTTCCAGGAAGGCACAGCTACATGATGGTAGGTTGGCATAATTCATCCATATTGTTCAACCTACTACAATGTGTGCCTATCCCTACACATTGTGTGCCTATCTCTGTATATTACAATAACATTAAGATTTGTTCCTTCATGGAATCATGTGCAACTCTCTTCGAACTCTCCCTGCTACCATACAACTGAGATTTTTCATATCTGGAAACCATACTTTCTATTTCTTCTGAACTTGGAAAAATTGGTTTGAGATTCCTATATCCTAAATTATCTGAAGCACGGAAGGAAATTAAATAAGGAACAGGAAAGAGATCCATCCGTCACAATGACAGGATGTGCATAGTCCTAATATACCAGGTTGTTCTTTGTGGTCTCCGTGAATGAACACTAATGGGGTTAATCTGTGACTCCACAGAGCAGCCTCAGAACATTCCAGAGCTCAAGCACATGGTGCCGGGAACTCGCACATGCTACCCTTAACTCAGCCCCAAGCACCAAGTGCCTCACTTCCTTTCTTGCTGCTGCAGCTTTGTTAGGAATGTCTGTGCTTTGTTCAAACAATTAGCTACCTTTACCTTACTTTACGGACCTCTCTGACTTTGTTTACAGATTGCTCGACAATTCTTCTTCTCTGTGAGTTTGGATAAAGAATAAGAAATTGACTGTTAGTTTGGGTTGGGAGAGCCTTAGCTTTGTTTATGGCCACTCTGGGCCTCTTTAAAAGGTGTCAGTCCTGCCCTAACGAGATTGCCCCCTTTCCAACGTTCACTCCCATTGTTGTTCTGTCTTGGGGATGAACACTAGCCGTCCTTCTGTAGAGTTTGTAAAGGCTTTATTAAGATGGCTCTTAAGTTAAGGCTTCAATGTCTCCATGAGAGAAGTCCCAACCCAAGGGACACTCATGGAATCACCCCGGGCTGAGTGGCCTTCTCCAATCTCTGGGTCTCCACTGCTTTCTAAAAATACGAAGGCTCCTAAAATGGCATCCAAGCCCCAAGCGTTTTCGGGCTCGAGGTCAATGGCTACGGCATCAACGCCAAAGCCTCCCTCGGTATTGGCCCTGGAGAAAAACAAAAAGACTTGGAAACTTTGCCGTTTGTCAGAAAAAACTGTGCAGTCGGAATTGGTACCAGGTGCATCCTGGCCACTATTGGTATGTTTGAGTATACTGTCAGGGGACGAAGAGGGTCCGTCCCCAGTGCCGGAGGCCTTGCCATCCCCATACATCAGCCATTCTCCTGACTGGAGGAACACCTCTGTTGAGGTTGTTCAGTTTGTGTAGGCTAGCCCAAGATCATCTCCGGGTTCGATCACTGGCCAGGGTTCCACCTCGCCACCTGGTTCCATACTTTGAGATGTGCCTAAGAGGACTCACAAGTCCCAGCACCTGGAGCCACCGGCTGAGCCTGAGCCTCCTTGGCATCAGCCAGCTGCCAGAGACGAGTTCCTGGATTATAGAAGACCACATCATTATGACTATGCCACATTCTTTGACCCTGATGGCTTTGAACCCGGCCCACGCCCTTACTCAAGGTTCTATAGGTTCAACCCCTACTATTGGCGTCACTATTACCCTCGCTATTCGCCCTCACCGTCACCTTCTTCCCCTTGGTACCAGCATGGTGAAGATCGCCTTACAGAACCCGAGGGTGACTTCTATCTCCCATCACCTCCACGGCCCCATAAGAGCCTTCTGCCTCTGGATTATGTTCCCGCTGTTGAGGCAAAGCAGGCTTACCGACCAGTACCGGGCCCTGAGAGTGGACAGGCAGCCCCGGACCATATTTGTTCCCCAGCATGGCCTTCTTCTAGAGGGGATGTGTGTAGGCTGGTAGCCTGCATCGATGTCAATACCTACCATCTGCCGCCCGGCTGGGAATGCTATTCTCCATCCCTCGATTGTGCTCCTCTGGACTCGAAGTTGCAGGTGTCAAATGGAAAAGATGACTTGCTGCCAAATAGCCCCACACTGGGTTCTGATGTTGGGGAGAATCACCCCCCCTTTCCGTCTGAGGACTATCCCTCGTACTCTCAACTCCTTCTTCACATTGTGAAGGTGTTGGATTTAGCTCTAGAGCAACCAGCAGCATGAAAGGTGGATAAGTTATATGAGGATATGACTCATGATCAGGCCCCACCTCTCTGGCATGTCAGATCTTATGAGGGAATCATGGGCAAAGCCCTCTTCATCTGATCAAATACCTAGGAGGGTGGAAAACCTTTGCAAGATCTATAGGGAGAACACTGGCTTTTTGTTAAAACATCTGCTGCCGAACTCCTTTGTGGTTGATGCCACAAAAAAACAGGGCAAGGAATCAGTCATTGTCAATGCCAAATAACAAGGAGGGCTATAAGCTGGATGTTATCAGCCAGCATATGTATTCTCTGGCCTCCTTCGTGTTGAGAGTGGCCAACTACTCGGCCACCATGGGGACCTACTATTGCCACCTATGGAATTTGGTGCCACCCATTCTTGAGGCAGCAGCTGAGGATGTCTGTGCACAGGGTTTGTCCTTCCATCATGAGGCAATGGGCCTGGCTTGTCAAGAGGACATTGCTGCCAGACACATTTTGGATGCGGCCTCTAAACAGGTGGCCGTGGCCGTTTCCCTGTGCCACCATGCCTGGCTTCACTCGGCAGGGATTTCAGAGGACGTGAGGGTGAGAATCAAGGACCTTCCCTTTGACAGAGTCAGCTTGTTCAATGGAAAAACAGATGAAATCCTGGATAACCTTTTGAAGCTCAGGAAAACAGCCAGATGCTGGCATTTCTCCTCTAGAGCCTTCCAGGACTGCCAGAAGCCTCAAATGTCATGACTCCCTTCACCATCCTTTTGGCAGACGGGTAGCCAGTGCACCTGCCAGCAGACATGCCACCAGGACTGGAAGGCCCGGCAAACTCTTTGACATTTCCCCTCTGCCAGCAGCCATACACCCCACAGTCTGTCTTGCCCCCTTTCCTTCACTCTTGGCATGCTCGTATCACCTCAGACTCCTGAGTCCTCTCCATTATAGCCTGGGGCTAAACAATTGAGTTTGACACTTCCCCTATCACAGGCCACCTTAAAACCACTACTCCCTCTCCTCCTTTGGAAGATGAAATTAGAGCCTTGCTTCAAAAGGATGCAATTGTCCGTCTGCAACATCTGGATGTCTTTCTCTGGTTTTGTTCCTGTTATTTCACAGTTCCAAAGAAGGATGGGAGATTTTGTCCTTTCCTTGACCTCCACCATTTGAATGTGTATATCACTCCTCGGTGATTAAATATGGTCTCTCTGGATGCCACCATTCAGATGCTCAGCCAAGGTGACTTGTTCACAGTCATAGAACTCAAGGATGCCTACATCCATTCTACTCACTGCCAGTTTCTGAGATTTTCAGTTAAGGAAGTGACATATGAATGCAAAGCCCTCCCCTTTGGGTTGTCGACCGTCTCACGAGTGTTCACGAAGTGCTTTGCCCCCATGGCAGCGCATCTTTGACTCCAAGGCGTCACGGTGTTCCCTTACCTGGATGACTGGCTGCTGGTAGCGCCATCTCAAGCCCAGGCCGAGCAGGATATGGTGTTAAGTCTGTCTCTACTATTGACCCTAGGTCTCCGGGTCATTCTGGAAAAATCGATGCTGTGACCCACACAGTGAGTCACTTATATAGGATCCATACTAGATGCTTTGTCAGGTCAAGTTTCACTGCCTCTGGACAGGATTTTGAAGATCCGGATCATGCTGTGTTCCTTTCACCATGGGGCTTGGGTACTGGCCCTTCAAGCCCAGCGACTGCTTGGCCTCATAGCATCTGCTACGGCCATGGTGCAGCATGCCCATTTAAAAATGAAGTCACTTTAAGCCTGGTACCTTTCTCTATTCAGGGTGCCACTGGATCCCACATCCAAGCTCCTGCAGGTCACGGGTGAACTGGCCTCCCA